TATTTTATCAGTTTTCACCTTAGTAGATCTAAGGTTCAAGAAAAATGGTTTGACGTCCAATTCATATATTTAGAACAAAAATGTTTTAGACAATTAAGAGTTACTCTGAATTACGGCGACGATGTGCGTGTGTGGGTGTCGAAACTATTGGATGCTTTTTAATCGATACCGAGTATCGATCAATACTAAAAAGTATCAACTCAACACATCACTACTAAAAAATCTCGTCGGTTTTTGACATTTTTTTTTTTTAAGATTGCTTTTGCGGTTTTTTATATAACAAGTGCAATTTATAAAAAACTGGCGTTCATTTTTTGAAATTTTGTTGCTAACGGTCTCCCGCATTTTATTTCATAAGAAATTCATGTTTATATGGAAAAAAGTGCAAAAATCTTTCACAAAAAAAAAAACAGATCTCAAAAATCAACCAGGTTTTCAGCCGCTTGACACTTGAACTTCATTAAATTAAAACTGAATGGGCTACAAAACTTCATACTCTAGAAATTCTGAATAAAAATTTGAATCTGATGAAATTTTTTGGAATTTGTGCGAACTTTATATAAAGTGCGAAACTTTGATTTATGTATATGGTTTATATTATAGAAAGAGCTAAATCTCCATAAATATTTAATGCAAAAAATTTTTCGTTCAAATAATTGTGAATATTATATTAGATTCAGGTGTACACTTTCATTTGTCGCCTAGTGTATGTATGTATGTTTGTTTTTATTAATGCTGGAGAAGTATACAATGAATTATCAAAAAGACATCAGCAACTTTTAAAGAAGGGGAGACATTTAGACTATATGTAACCATTTCATTCAATTATATTCAACCGCAATAAATAGCTATCTATGGAAATAGCCCATGTGTGGAGTCAAATGAAGCAGTGAATAGTGAATGGGATGAGTGTCTGAGACATGGAAGCTATTAAATAGAAAATACATGAGTCCATAACAAAACTTATTCTGAATTAAGAGGCAACTAATTTTGTTTGAGTAAAAGGAGACTGTTTTTGCAGTGGGACTCTTGTTACCCAGTGAGTAACCAGTTATATGATGTCTAGTTTGTAACTAGTAGAATTCATACCAATTGAGGAAAGCAAGGTTCTATAAACAACTAGCATTTTAATAATACTGGAATATGGAAAAAGGTACGAAGCTAACTAATTGAGTGATATTCTCAGAAAGTGTTTTCATTTAATTAAGTTTTATTTTTAAATATTTCCTCCATTTTAATGAACTTATGCACAGCTTTTTAATTTTGCACCTTTTGCTGAAAATACGCAAAATAACATATGCAACTGAAAGTTAAACAAAATATTCAAGCTCTGAAATAGATAAACAAGTTTTCAGCAAATACAAAAAGCGACTGGCTGACAACGCACAATCACTAATTTGTAGGGGATGAATGTATAAAAAGTATATGCGGCACAACACGCGCCACGAAAGCAACAGCAGCGTCCAAATAACGAGTTCGTAGAATTGTCAGCGCGCATAAAATGAAATACATTTGAGTGACACAAATTCCAATTGGAAAAGCAGAACGTAGCAAAATGCCGATCGTAGCAAAAATAACAAGCAGAATATTTACATTATCAAGCCATGTACAAGAGGGGCAACAATATCGATCGATAGCGCAAGAGTGCCTGAAGGGGAGCGCGCGCGGAAAAAAGAGGACTAGCACGGCGCGAGTGCCTAGGGAATACACAACTGTAAAGGCCGTGGACGGAGGTGAATGGTCGTATGCGGGTATACTGTGCTTACTAGTGGCAGTGGTGGTGACTAAGGTGATGGAAGAGAGCGCGCGCGCGCGCGCCCCTTGGCTGTCGGGTGTTTATGATTTTGATGGTGGCTACGAACGCTGGTTGTGTCGGTTAATGCGCCACCGCTGAAAGTGAGTGCGCAAACACTACCGAAAGGGGGTTAATATACTCTTAAAAAGTCACACATGTGTGATTCTGCTGCCGCCGCCACCGCCGCCGTCGCCGCTTAGGTAAGCGCACGCGTGGCGTTAAATTGCACGCGCGGCGCGGTTATGCGTGGCGAATGCGACGTTGGCAAACGACGGCGACGCACGGTTTTAGCGCATTTTAATAGCTGACAGCTGTTAAGCGTAAAAAGCGGCAACTGAAATATTTACTTTGAGTAAAGTGGTGGTCGACGAAGTGTGCGGTGGCGATGGTGGTGTGGAATGGTGAATGAGGTGCTGCAACCATGGCGGCCAAACAGCCGCTCTGGTCGGCCAGCCACCCTTCGTCTAGCGCGCAGCTGAGTACATGTATGTATGCATGCAAAGTCGACGCTTAGCGACAGATCGAAGCGCATGTGCATAACACCCCAGCTAAGCTATAAATATGCTGGAACGTATGAGTGTATGTGTGTATGCGCGCCTGCAAAGTACTTTGTTGTATATTTATTTTGTGCTTTTTATATACATAAATGTATTTATGGGTATATATGCCTTTTTGCTGTTGTTTTTGTAACGTACATTTTGCTACAAGGACACGCGCCTTGCTTTTGTTGAAGCGAACAAATTAAAAACAGCAAAGAATTAATATTTTAACGATAAGTAAGAGGTAATAAAATGAATGATTATAAGGAATTAGTTTCTTATTTAGGACAAAGCGGAATTAGGAATAAAGGCATGTTCAAAATGCATATACATAAGTAACTAAAACCTAAATAAAAATTAAAGTTTCATACACTTTCCTTCCAATTATGCCGAGTGGATCTCGAGCTTGCAGTGCGACAAAAATATTTCAGTTTCTAGTTATATTTATAAACCATATTTTATGAATCAGCCAGCAAAAGAGTACACCAGCAAAAGCACAAAAAAACAACGGCGAACACAGGGCAAAAATGTGCCACTTGGCAAGCGAATCGACGATCAGATCAGAGAGAGGGCAGCTACGTATGTGGCGCGGTTTAGCGCATGCATGTTGCATGCAACATATGCTGCGCGACACAGTGCAGTAGCAACAAAACACCAAAAAAGAGCAGGCAAATAAAGCAAACAACGAATCTTAGTGCACTTTGCGACTCAAAGCAAATCACTTCCCGTTTCGACAGGCGAGAGTCAACCGAGCAGCTAGCCCGAAGTTGAAGAAGATTTTTGTTGTTGCAAATGTATCTATACATTTGGATTTTGTTTAAAAATAACTTCAAAATGTTGTAAAGCATTAATTTGAAAATGTGTGCACTATCCCAACGAAATGGGCGATAAAGAGACGTAAAGCCAAAATTAGCCGAAGTTTTATTTCTTTCTTTATTTATAGCTTATAATATTGCTGTTGATGTTAGCGGCGGCGGCAAGACGACAACAACTTTGAACTCTCTGCTGGCGTTAGCCGGTGAAATTTACTTGTACTTTTCATTTTTTTTTTTTTTTTGTGAATTTCTGCAATAACCAAAAGAGAACCGATAAATGGATGTCTAGAAGGAGGAAAAATTTAGGAAATCAGCTGCTTGCTGTGCTATGGCGTGTGCCGATAAACTAGAAGCGAAAAAACAAAAGTAATTTTTCCGAACGCAAGTCTAGGGGTAGGCAGATATTTGCTAAAGAAATTGAGTTAGTAAAATAAAAGCACTGCAAACAAGTCAAATTTGAAAATTGCGACGTTTAGGAAACTTAGAAAGAGTTTGAAAACTTTTCGAAAACGATGTTTTTGAAAAATTTCGAAAAGGCAAGCAAGCTAAATTTTTGAACTGTACAATGTCTTGGAAACATGAGAATAATTGGATTGATTTAAAATTTTTAATTTTTTTTTTTTTTTTTTAAATTCAGGAAATTTTATTGAGTTTTAGTGTATTGCTATGAAGGTGATAGCTATACTCTTTTTATTAGATGTCATTATAAGCACCTCCCTGCAAAATTTGAACTTTATCCCGCCAAATTTCGCCCAGTTATGTGCAAGTAAAGTTCAAATTTTTCGAAAACGCCTTTTGCAGCCCCTTTCGCGAGTATTTTCCAATTATATTAGCTTAGCAGTAAAACATTTTAAAAGTCATAAATTAAGTACATACCTGCAAACTTTTCAAAAACGATACTTTTGCATTTTGGAGTACATGTACATATGTAAAAAAAAGCAGTTGGCCCATCAGCAGCCAATAGTGCTGAAATACGTAAATCACTGTCGAAACCGATTGGAAAATACAACACATGCAATATTTAGACTTCCAGCTCAAAACGCTTTCTGAAGCAACTTTCGCGTAACTTTTTAGGCCGCATGCATTTCTTAACGGTTAAAAACACTTCAGCTCATAATAATACTTCAAAAACTTTTAAAAAACGCCGTTTTAGCTTACTTAGTGTATAGTTGGAAAATATTTAGGTTTCTCAAAAATCAATAAGAGTGAAAATCGTTAATGAAAGTCGAAAACTATTCAAAATCATAGAAAGTACAAGCAAAATTTAGTCTTGCAGCTCAAGTTAGGCCGAATCGGCCTTAAGTGAAGTTCAAAATTTTTCGAAATCACATTTTTCTAGCATTTTCGGGCATATTTTTAGATGAACTTAACTTTTTAATATCTAAAAATGCTCTGAGGTGAAGCACAAAAAGCTTCAAAACCCCTATTTTAATTCACTCTGTGCGTATTTCTAAACAAAAATCAACAATGGCGCACAAGCCAAAATCTAGGCTTACAGCTCGAAATTTTACCAAATCAAGCGCATGTGAAGTTCAAAATTTTTCGAAAACTCTTTTCGGCGGGTTAGTGAAAAATTTTCCGAATATAAGAACCTTTGAAAGCTATAGATTTTTCGAAACGGAGTTCCTTGTGGACCCATGCCCATATTTGCTAAACCTAAGGTGTTTTGGACTATCGATAATGTTCGAAACTGCAAACCTAGTTCAAAAACTTTTCGAAAACACACTTGTGGTGTACCGTGGTTCGAATTTTTTAGTTCGTTATTTTTATCAAATGCCATTATTGTTTGAACCCAGTTTCGTTATGACCTAATTTAGTTTATATGTAGTATTTATAAAAAATAATACTCACCGGCCATGCAAAGTTGAACGCAAATTGTATGGGATTCGTGAAACCTTTGCTTTTAAATTTTTGCGTATTCGTTAGATTTACCGAATTTTCACCGAGTATCGGCGTCACAACATCACCGTACGTACACTGTGATGTTGTATCGATTTTCGCTTGATAATGTTTGAGACAAACGCGAAACCGTGTCTTACACGTACCGATACATTTGCCCGTTTGCGGATCGGAGATGCCACTACAGCAATTACCTTCGCTATCGCGACCGTAATCATTATTGAAATAACGTAATCGTAATTCGAATAAACCGGAACTGTGGACCTGGTGAAGAGAAAGAAGTTACGAAAAAAAATTAGTAAAATAAATTTGATGATAGCCAATATAAGTATGATTATATAACAAGTAATAAAAATATGTTCCACTTTAAAAATAGTCTTAATTATTTTTCAGCAACCTATCCGTGAGGAAATTCTTAGCAACATAAAAATTTTTGCAATCGCACAAGAGTGGAGTACCTGCACAACCCACAGCAAAGTAAATTTGTATTTATCTTGAAATTTATTTTTAAATTGCTGCTACGCGCCGCCAACTAATCGAATTATAAAGCAATTCATTTAAGTTTACACGCAATTTTATCCAGCTGATTTTTTTTTGTTTTTGTTTGTTCGCCTGTTTGCCTGCCTGCCTGCCGCTTCTGCTGGCCTTCCAGCAATTCCACTTAAAAGATGTTGCATTCCTTTTGCGCTCCACCCTGACTCTCTGCATCTATCTACAACATGGCTCATTCTTTTTGTGGCGGCATAAAATGCCAGCCAGCTACTGCTGCAACATGACAATAAATCTTTCAACGTGGTATTTAAGCAAAATGCTACAAAATTACAGTCAAGCGGGGAGGAGTAGTTGGCGGAAGGCAGTGACTGGAGCGGCAGATACGACAATTGCTGAGATACGTATGTACATATGTATGTTTGTATGTACAAAAAGCTTAAGTTGAAGAATTCTTTGCGGGCCTTAAGAGATTGTTGGTAAGAAAATATTCCAGCAAGAGAGCACTAAAATACAGAAATAGTTAAAAGCGAAGGCGATATACAAATAAAGAAATTTGCGAATTCTGGCTGCAGCGAAGAAACAAAGCGGCGAACGAACTGTGGGGGGCGGCGGCTACTCGAGAGACACTCCAATCACTCGCATTTTGCCGGCCAATCGACTGCCGCCTCAACCCCGACACAACCGCCTGATCGCGCTCCAGAACTGTAAATCGCTTGTGCAGCTTGGTTGTTGTTGTTCTGGTTTGTTGCACATTTTTTGGCTGGCAATGTTGCTGCTGGGACTTTTTGTTTGTTTTAGTTTTACTTTGCGATCGAAAGGACAAGTTATACATACAAATGTACACTTATGCTTCAAATCAGTTGGTGATTAAGTTGCTGATTTACTTATGGATGTGTGTGCGTGTGCGCATGCGTGGCAACCGAAAAAATGACAAATGCACAGCAAGAGACCGAAAATGCATATTCATAAGCACTGGTGTTGCATGTGTTGCCTTCAAGCTCCTACTTGAGGCAGCATATGTAGAAACTATGTTTTAATTTTTGTTGCATTTTTATTAATCATAAATCTGCACAAATTTACTCTTTTTTTGGAGCGAGAGCTCTTGTGTGGTGAAATTGTGATAAATTTTAAACGCAAAATTGCAAAAACAATTAAAGTGGCATATACATTTCGGTATACTTGAAGCGGAAAATTTTTAAGGACCAAGTTATTTATCATTTCGCATTTTTTTTTTAATTTCGTTTTAAATTTGGATGGTTCTACTGAAATAAAATGTGTGTCATTGTGTAAATATTTTTTTGTCATGCATCAAAAATATCATATTGTTTTAATTTTTTATTTTTACACACTCTTAATTTTATAAAAAAATTTGTTAATATATTTTATCTAATTTTTTAAATTTTATATTTTGAATTGGTTTTTTTTTATTTTCTTATTTATATTTTTTATTTATATTTTTTTGTTTTTATTTTTCATTGTTGTTTTTATTATTTTTATTATTTCCTTTTTATTTTTATTATATTTTCAATTTTATTTAATTTTTTTCGTATTAACAAATGACTTACATATGCATTCAACTTTTCTTCACTCAATTTTTATAGTTACATACTTTTCGCAAAAGGAAAACAAACGTAAATTTTCTCCAAAATTGTCTCCGATACAAAATAAGCACAATTAAATCTTGTCAACATGTGTCGATTCGTAAGGCTAGCAGAAAAGAAAATTTTGTATGCGAAATTGTCGTAAAGCTAACGAGGCATCAAATTAGCATAATTTGATTTGCGGCTATAAAAAGGCAGATTTTAAATTAACAAGAAGCAAGAAACGAAAAAATCCAAAACATAAACGGAGCTGTTAATAGCCCAAAAATGAGTGGAGCTGTTTGTGTTGAGTTTTTGTTTAATTTTTTTGCTTTACAATGTTTCAGCTGCGGGGTGATAAAACTGTCAGCATTTATTAGCGAAATTTTATTAGTGTTGATGTACGAGGAAAAAACAAATTTTGCTAAAGTGAGAGAAGACAAGGAAACCAAGCAAACAAGCAGCGGCGCCACCGCTTTGTACATATAGTTGCGGTACATAAATTTTGGAGCTAATTAGAAAATGATTAAATGGAATGGGGGAGACAAAAAAATTACAAAACAAACAAAACAATTTAAATTTACATAAACGAAACACTTAAAAATTATAAAAATTTAAAATAAAAAGAAAAACCAAAAAATTTTAATTTAAATAAAGATAAAGAAAAAGTAAAAAATATGCAAAAAATAAAAATTAATGTTAAGTAAAAATGTTGAAATAAAAAATTAATGAATAAAAATTTTGAAATAAAAAATTAGGCAGAGTTGCGACAATTCAGTAGTATGTATTTTTAATTTTGTGGAGCAAAATTAATTTACCGAACAAGAAACATAAAAATGTGTTCATATTTTGTTAAAAAAAAATTCAACTTTTTTTGCAATGCAATTCGTAAAAATTTTCGTTTTGATTATGCGATTAGCTGAAGAAACACAGATTGAATCTATTAATACAAAGCCGATATGAGCACGTAAAAATTTAAAAAATATAAATTATAATTAAAAAATATCTAAATCAAAATTTAAAAAGCTTATGACAAAAAATTTAAAAATAAATACACAAACATAATAACAGTTAGTATTTACTGAAAGTGAGAAATTATCAACGTTAAAAACAGAACATGCAGTAACACTTCAAATGCAAAAATAATAGAGAAAGGAAACAAAAAATTAAATAAAAAATAAGTTTAAAAAATAAATAAAAATTATTAAAAAATATTTAGGTCAAAAATTAATTTTGAAAATATTTTTTTTTTAATATTTTTAAAACCACATATGCATATTGAAATAAAAAACTTTAATTAAAAAGGTAAAATGACAAGATTCAATATGTATGTAAATAAATAAACAAAGAGGATAAAGAGTATGAATGTATAAATAAAATTTAAAAAGCAGATAAATTTAAAAAAAAAAAACAAAAAAAGATTCGTAAAAAAATTTTACATTTTAATGATTTACAATTTGATTTACAAATTGATATGACAAAAAACTCAAAAATACCAATTTAAAATAGTAAAATATAAAAAACAAAAAAATATTATTTTACAAAAAATTCTAGGTAAATATTTTTGAACGACTGTCAAATTTGGTTTGAATAAAACACGCTCACGGCGTTCTGCTATCTTCAGAGACATTTTTCTTATTTATACTAATAAAGGCCATTAAATATTTATCTCATTTCTTATTTCATTACGCGCATGCGCGTAAAATGAGAACAATAACCCAAAAATATTTTTGCACATTTAATAAGCAGAAATGCAAAGCTACAAAATGGGGTGAAATTTTTTTAGCAAAATAAAAATACAGCAGAAAGTGCGTAGAAATGAAGAAATTAAATACAAATAAAGCAAACATATTTTTTCACCCTATAAACACACCTAAAAACTAGCCGACAAGCAATCAACGCTTCATTAAATGCACAACCAAAAATGGAGGCAGTTTCTACAACAGAAAAAAAAACAACATACATACGAAGGAACATACGCATATAACAAAACATGAACAAGATTAAAAAAAAGCTAGAGCAAACAAGTGTCTAGCAACAGCAGCAAAAAACACGCACGCGCAAATAGACAACGAAGAATCGAGTCTTCCTCCAGGCGGCTGGCATGAGAGGTGGGCAGGCAGCATTGGCTACCGGCTGCCCAAAAATAGACACGCACGCACACACTCACACTGCATTGCTCTGATTTATAACTGTTCGGCAATTAACATTTACAACAAGTTTAAGCTTGTTAAAATGACAATTTAATTGTTAACAAGGCGACGTCATAACAAAATGGGAAAATCAAAAAGTTGAAAAAAATAAGAAAACAAATAAAAATAAAAGTGTAGGAATAAGAAAAAATACTAAAGAAAAATATTTGTAAGACCATAGATGGCAGCAAGCGGGGAGCGCAAATCGGTGTGCTACAGGCTTTTGAGTGCCACAATAGACTGTCAAGGAAGCTAGAGCTCAATTATTTTGTGCCTTCCTGCTCCAACAACCTGCCAGCCAACTAGCTGGCTCGCGAACTTATAAGTAAGTAGTAAAATGATGTGCAATTTATTGCTGCTGCTGTTGTTGCTGTTGTGATTGTTGTTTCTAGTGCTAAGCAGCAATGCAGCATAAGAGCTGTGAGCAACTTGTCGCTGTTTAATTACTTAATTACTCGCTTAAACTGATACCACCACTGTGGTTAATTTGCCTGAGAGAATATGAAATGAAGATGGGCGACAAGCAAAGCCAAAGTGCTCTGAGGAAGTCATAAAAGTGGGTAAATCGGTTTGAGACATAAAAGCGAATTGCGATTAAAGTGTAGTCAAAGAAGTCAATAAGCAAAAGTTTAATTATGCAGAGGCTTAAAGGATTACAAGTTCAAGAATTAGCTGCATTCAAATGTAATATGCGAAAAAACATGTCGATAGAAATTTATAAAGTTGCACTGATTAAAAAGTGCATACTAAGGTTAGTCTTAAAACAACAAACGCAGATAGTTGGTGAAAAAAGTTGATTGAATTTCGTTATGCGCAGTTAATGCATAAGTGAGGCAATATGCTCACGCAAAGTAAAGTATGCGTAGAGAACGAGGTTAAATAGCGTGCACGCTTTAAACGCCTATTAAGCGGCTTATGTTGGCGCTTGGAATTAGAAAAAAATACCCAAAACGAAGTGAAGTTGAAGAAGTCAATGGCAAGCACGCACACGAGTTGGGTG